GCATTCCCCCATTACCTGGGGTCTGACAATGGGCCTGCCTTCATGGCACAGATATCTAAATTATTGGCAAAGACACTATACATCAATGAAAAATTACACTGTGCCTATTGGCCACAAAGCTCAGGACAAGTAAAAAAGATAAATAAAACCCTAAAAGAGACCTTGACTAAATACATTCTAGAAACTGGCGGTAGGTAGCCCGATCTGCTTCCTCTAGCTTTGCTAAGAGTTAGATGTACCCCATATGTTGACAAGTTTACCCCTTTTGAAATCTTGTATGGGAGGCTGCCACCACTCCTCCCTAAGTTAAACCTTGAACAGATAACAGAGAATTCTTGTGTTCCTTTACTTCAGTCTCTTCAAGACTTTCAGATTCTTCAGAGTGAGATCCAGGCTACAATACAACAGGCTCAAAAAAAACCCTTTGCAACATTCCAGCCCCACAGTTTCAAGCCAGGAGACCTGGTCCTGTTACGCCGACATCAGACTAAGAGCCTTGAGCCTCGTTGGAAGAGGCCATACCCTGTTATTTTGGTAACCCCCTCCACAGTCAAAGTAGCCGGGGTTACAGCTTGGATTCATCACACCCAGGTCAAGTCAACACCAGCAGAGAGCCTGGAGCCAGCACGATAAAAGATTCTAAGTGCCCCGGGAGACTTAAAGTTAAAGTTGAAAAAAGGAGACTAATACTCTTGATATATATATTCTGTCAATTGTGCCAGCTCAGGGAAACAAATAACCTATTCCTTCCCCAATCAGAAACCTGGGAGCTAAAGATGACTTCTAATGGGAGAGTCATGGCAAGAGTAAAAAGAGGACCAGACCAGTCTAAAGTTATCTTCCAAGTAAGCTTATGTAATTTGGTTGAGGAAAAGTGGCAACCAGACATTAAACAAGGGGGCTGTAAAACATCTGGGTGTTACATTTTCACTGATTCCACTTTTCCCCATCCCGTCCAATACTATGTGTGTCCAGCTAATGAGGAGAAACACTGTGATGGTAGCCAAGGAGACTATCATTGTTCCAAATGGAGATGTGAGACCATAGCTCCCTGGTCAGTTTAAATCACAGATCCCTGGCTAAAAATGTCTCCCACCACTCTTACTCATGATAAACCCTGTGTCACTGGTAGATGTTACCTGGCAATTATTCAAGTACAGAGATTGGATGATCCTAAGTGGATGTCAGAAATGACATGGGGAATCAGATTGTATGTAGCCGGGTGGGACCCTGGGTCAGAGTTTACCATCCAAAAAATTCGCCAGCATATCGTGCGACCTATGGGACCCAACAAGGACTTTGCCCTACCTATCCCCGTAACAAAGCAAAGCCCGTACCCAAGCCCACTCAGAGACCAAAACCCACCACTTCCCTGGCTGTGTTACCAACTACAGTAAGACCACAAGAAAAAACCCCTACCCCTATAGTGAAAATGTTGAGAAATGTCCATTCACTCTTCAACAAATCCAGGCCTGAGGAGGCTAAAGATTGTTGGCTCTGCCTTGACCCCAAGCCCCCATGTTATCTGGGGTTGGGACTCGTGGCTGATCCAAATTTGACTTCCTCAACAGGCTGTGATTGGAATCACCCTCGGCTTACGCTGGGGGATATCCAAGAAAAGGAAACGTACCTAATGGAACTGGGTTACAGGTTAGCCACGTCACCTTATAGAGATCTATGCAATAATAGTTATAATAGTCACCCCACTTCAGGCTCCCAACTGTATTACAAGGCTCCAGAAGATGCTTGGTTTGCTTGCACCAAGGGCTTGACTAGGTGCATTCCCAAATCAGTCTTGGCTACCCAATCTGCCACTTTATTTTGTGTCACCGTATATGTTGTTCCACAAGTCTTGTATTATGAAAAAGGGGGCTGTGAACATCTGGGATTAACCACTAAACACTGTAAGAGTAAACGGGCTGCCCCTGTTTTAGTGCCTATTCTGGTGGGATTAGAAATAGCCGGGTTTGAGGCTATTAAAACTTCCTCCCTAATCCTTCAGGACACAAATTTTAAAGCCCTAAGCCACCAAGTAGCCAGAAATATGAGTCACCTGAAAGACTTGAGCTCCAGATTAGAGAACCAGGCTGATCCCCTAGCTGAGATGGTCCTGCAAAATCGAAGGGGATTTGACCTCCTATTCATGAAACAAGGAGGATTATGTGTAGCCCTAAGAAAAACCTGTTGCTTCTATGCTAATCAGTCTCATGCCACTAGAAATACCCTAGCTATGGTCAGGAAAAATTTAAAGACTAAATATGCTCAACAAAAGGATCAAAATTGGTTTCAAAATCTATTTGACTGGTCCTCATGGTTAACTACCCTAGTTTCTGCTGTAGCAGGCCCCCTAGTTATCTTACTTCTACTTGTGCTCATGGGACCTTGCATTATAAATACTCTCACTAAATATGTTAGACAGAGGGTTGATACAGTTAAACTGATGGTGTTGAGACAAAATTATGAGATTTTAAAAGACGTTTAAAAAAAATCAAAAAAATAAACACAGAAATCAAAGATTTGATTAAGTTACAAAAACCAGTGGGGAATGAAGGACCCTAGTTAGCAAGACAGACTCCATATTGCTGCTTGACCCACCTGCCTGTCCTTTAGATGAACTCAGAAGGAGGAAGCTTAGAAACCTCCTCCCCTTAAAAAGTCCCTTTAAAAGTAACAATTAATCAACTATTGTTTTACAAATGTTCTAACAGTAGGACTTTCCGCTTCTGTACCTTTTGCTTGCTTTGCTAGTTCTATCCCATAGGGGGCCTAAAAACTGTTGGCCTCAAAGATATATAAAACATGTTTGACTCCCCCTAGTCGGGGCTCAAGTCCGATGCTCAACTTGGGTCCCGGCTGGTAATAAACTTCTGTACAGATTTAATATTGGTCTCTGGTTGGTTCTTTCTCGCTGGGTCTAACACTCGGTAACTACACGTTGCTTTATCTATGTTCACAAACCATATGCTTACAATCCTCACTGTATTCTGTGAATGTTGATGTCTATAATCTTTGGAGTTAACACTCTTGTTTTTGAAAATCTGAAGAACATTTTTTTTTTTTAACTCAGGACGTTGAGCTTGTGGGACAGGTGCAGAGCCAAGGAGCTAAATCTCTGGCCCTGGAGAACATTTTTTCCATCCTTAGTCACCTTGCACATGGATAATGGATTCAGATGCTAACTAACAGAAGTTATATGACAGCATTAATTTATTCACAAATGCTTATTGAACCCATGACATCTTCAACACTTTGTATCTGGCATTACAGTAGCTACTAAGATGACTATAGAACTATCCTATTTATACAAAGAAATATCCTACAGAACAAAACACTGTGCCATAACCAAGTCAATGCTGGATTTAATTTACTACAGCAGAACCAAGAGAAGAAACATGTGCAACCCCTCCCAACTATTCTCTTCTGACAGTTATATCATCTCACCTTGCAGATTTGATCTTAAAAAAAGTTATTGTTCTTTTAAAACTTCCTTTTTAAGATGACTTGTAAAGGGTTGTTCTTTTTTCTTTATCTGAAGATTGAGGCAAGTAGGAGCAGAATGACTTTTTGCTCTGCCATCAGGTTAAATACACTTCACACTTACCTCCTGTGGAGAGGATTTACCCAGGTCTATATTATTTTGTCCTGAATATCCTTATTTTAAAGGATCTTTTGTGTCTTGTGTATGGTATCCTTAGGGGCAGGTTTCAGGAAGGACCTATTGTCCACAGGTTTGTGACTCACTGTTCTTTTCCCTTGTCTAACCCTCCGAATGACCCTGAAACATTGGACTGTCTTATCTGAGTTATGCAAACTCTGATCCTCAGAAGAGAACAGTTTCCCAAGGTCTCAGATTCTCTCAGAGACAGACCTTGGATTTAAACATTACTATTTCTGACCTCAAAGCTTGTCTTTCCAAAACATATTAACCATGATAAAATGTATTTTAATATTTTTAAAAAGAAACCTCTGTTCATCAAAAGGTTTTCTGCTCCAGCTCATGCACTCAATTACCATTTACTTGCCAGTCCAGGCCTAGGATTATTACTTGCCTTCTTTATAGTGTTGCAGGCAGAGACAGGTGGAGAGTGCCTGCAGTTCCAGGCCTAACTCTCCCGATGCCGCAGAAGGTTGTGGAAGAATCAGATAGAGACCAAAAGCTTAGAAGCAAAGTTGTACTTTTATTCAGCAAGCATACAAGACCACAGCTGTCTTCTCTCAGACAGACAGGCAGGGGTGCCCGAAACGGAGCCACTGTTGAAGGGGGGCTCAAGATACTGGTTTTTTAGTACTTGGGGCCCCTATCCTGCCTCTGGCTGAGGGTGCTCCTACTTGATTGGTTAATGATTAACTTAGCTCATTACTTGGGACAACAGGGAAGGGTCTCTTCAGGGGTCTTTTACATCTTAGGGCCAAGGTTTATTCCTTTTGATCTTAGCAAACCAAGCTTTGCAGGGTACAGCGCGAAGAGGAGGTGCAACCACAGACTGTCAGCTTTTCGCGGGTGGTTAAGCCTGTTCTGCCTATCTGAACTCTTCAGGGGAGGGGGGTGTCCCTCATCTCTCCCTGCCTACGGGTCTCTATCACTACAACAGCCCTACATCTTTAAATTGTTGCTATGATCGTCTAATCATAATTGTTCCTCACTGAATAGTCTACTGGCATTCTGACACTTTCTAAAGTTTCTTACTGTCCTTGTTTGACAGTGCCCAGAATTCTCTTTTGCAGTAATTTGAATTTCAAGGTGTTTTGTTTTGGGGGAGAGGCAGGAAGTGCTGGAAAAGCAAAAGTCGCTTCGTTACCCTGAGTTGGTTTTCCAGTTGTATCTTTCCGGTAGATCTTTCCTGCTACCTTCTAAAATTCATTGTTCTTATGAGCCATATTCAGACAGGCAGAAAGGTGCCAGACGGAAACTGAAGAGGGCTCAGTAGGAGACACTCCAAGGCGCTTAGCCCCGCCCTGAGGGGAAGCCCCGCCCCGCCCCGCCCCGCCCCGCCCCGGAGGCCTAAGAGCGGCCGGGCCCCAAGGCCCAGGCAGCCTAGGCGTTTATAGGTCACGCGGCCCGAGGACGTAGTCTTGGTGCGCCGCTGGGAGCCGGGCTTCGTGGAGACCCCGTGGACCGGGCCCTCGCTCAGCCTCTTGACTGTGCCTTGGGTCGCACGCGGCAGTTCCATGACCGCAGCATGGCCGCCGCGGGGGGCTCCCGGCTCCTGCTCGCC